TATTAGAGCATAAGCTTTCGTGGACTACAGCCGAAGAAGTCGGCTGTAGTCCACGAAAGCTTATGCTCTAATAAATTTGTTAGTCTCTAAGGTGCCACAAGTACTCCTGTTCTTCTTTTTGCGGATACAGACTAACACGGCTGTTACTCTGAAACCTAAGGATACGAAGTATAACTCTGAGGTCTTATTGTATCTGTGCAAAGTGTGGGCCATTAATGATGGTCTAGAATCTTGATGGCTCCCATTGATTAGGACAATTGGTTGTAAATGGTTCATTTACCTGCAAGCCTTCCTGTTTTCCTGTGAGCCAGCCCAGGAAGAATAGAGGCTGGGGTCTCACAGGACATGTGAACATGTCACCTGATACTGAAATCCATCTTAAACCTGGTGCTTTTCCATATAGAAGGAGGGGTGGAGACCCAGAGAGAAAATATTACTGCCTTGTTCTAAAGCTATAGAAGGGGTGGGACAAAACAAAGGAGACTACCAGTCATGAGAACACCCCTGCTTTCCATCTAAGATGTCTGCTGGAACTAACAAGGACTGTACCAGGAGAAAGGATTGGGCCCAGACTAGGAAGGAGTCTAGTCTGTGAAAGAAGCTTATTAGAACAACTCTGAGGGTGAGATTTTACCTGTAATCAGTTTCTTAATGTATTAGGCTTACACTTGTGTGTTTTTGCTTTATTTTGCTTGGTAACTTACTTTGTTCTGTCTGTTGTTACTTGAAACCTCTTAAATGCTACATTTTATTCTTAATAAAATCACTTTTGTTTATTATTGAACCCAGAGTAAGTGATTAATACCTGGGGGAGCAAACAGCTGTGCATATCTCAGTGATATAGAGGACGAACAATTTATGAGTTTACCCTGTATAAGCTTCGTAAAGAGTAAAATGGATTTATTTGGGGTTTAGATCCCACTGGGAGCTGGGTGTCTGGGTGCTGGAGAAAGGATACCTAATGAGAAGTTTTTGGTTGAAATCTGCAGCTTTGGGGGCGTGGACCAGACCTGGGTCTGTGTTGTAGCAGACTAGTGTGTCTGGCTCAACAATGCAGGGTTCTGGAGTCCCAAGCTGGCAGGGAAAATGGGCTCAGAGATAATCTCAGCACATCAGGTGCCAGTCCCAAAGGGGTCTCTGTGACCAAACCCGTCACATCAGTCTCCATCTCTCTCCCTGCTGGTCCACATACAGCCATCCAACATACCTATTAAGAGAAACATCAGGCCTGGAACATATCTTCAAAAAGGGTTTAATAAGAAAAAGCAAAAATTCACAATGAAGAAATGTTAGGAACGAAGAAGCAGGGAAGTTCCAGACTGTCTGATCAATGGGAAATTAGAGGGGAAATCACAGCGCCTGTCTCAGTCACACTTATTTCTTGCATTTAAACAAAACTGAAATAAAAAAGCTAATTGAAGTAGTTCCCAGGCAGGGATTGTCTCCAATACCCCCATTGCCCAATGAGCATTTGGGAGAGGAAAAGTTTAACCATACAGCATTTACATCCATACAGGATATTTGATCTGAACCCAGCCATTCTTATATTGATGTCCCAGAGACGCCATCACCAACATCATCATAACCTGGGTCACGAGGAGGTGGGGACAGGGCGTCACTCTCTGCCCCAGAGGCCCCTTCACTTCTTAGCGTGTGCAGACTCCAGCCTGGAAATAGCAAGGAGGTACATTATAGTCAATGTATCCATTCTCCACCCATGTGCTCTCACATAATGGATGGGCAAGGTACAGTATGGGCTGTGAATCAGCCCCTGCCCCCAGTTCCTCTGAGTGGGTCTCTGACAAGTTTAATCAATTATCTCTCTCTGTTCTTCAAAGAAAACATGGGGAAACAGATTCTCTCTGTGCTGAGACCTCCCTGGTGCAGGAGAAGTGTGGCGATGGCAGTGAGCTGGTGATGACTCCCTGATAGGCCACTGGGAGCTGCTGTAACTTTTGACAACTGATATAGTCCCTAAGGAACCACACGTCAGCAGAGACCTCGTGGTTGCAGCTGGGTGGGGACCCTAGCCCATAGAACATGCCTGGGCATCACAGATCTCACCTGCCCACACAATGTTCGTTCGCACATTATTCCCACCAAGACCAAAGAAATGCACATTTCATCCCAACCCAGTTTCCCCTGAGGTGCAAAGCGGGAGCTCAGCCATTGGCCCTAACTCTGATCCTATGCTAACGGGGACATTTACATATTGAAGTGAGTGATTTCAAACCTGATGCCAGGACACTAACTAACCACAGGCGAGGGACCTGCTCTTCCCATTACCACCCAGGGCACTTGTTTGGGGAAAGGCGCTTTGGCCCCGATCCTACCAATGGACTCTTGTAACTTTGATGATTTGGACAATTCCACTGAAGTCAGCAAGACTATTCATGTGAGTAGAGTGACAGATGGGATCTAGTATTTGTAGGATCACGGACCTTAATAGGAAATCTTTTTTAATCTTGATTTAAGTCGATTTAACTTGGTTTAGTAGAGGTTAGGGTGGGGATACAGCTGGGAGTTTACCAATAACTGTATTTCAGTGCAGTGTCAGTGACCTCTAGTGGCCAGTAAAGGCTCTTCCAGGTGAGTTGTCCACACACCACTCACCTGTCTGTGAATCCCAGTTCCTGACACTTCCCCCATGGGCCCCAGTGACTTCCTGGGCTCTCAGTCCAGAACCAGGGTCATCTTCAGGGTCAGAAATTTCTCTGGCATCATCATAACCGTCCCCTGGGTCATCTCCAGGCAGGGCCGGGACCTCTGAAATAAAGATTGGAATTAATGGTAATGAGAAGAGGCTTTCCACTGAATAGAGAAATAAGCTACATGCCAGGAGTGGCAAACGAGGGAGTTATGTGTATTATTTCTTATAAATGCCACATACACCTCAGCTTAGCTGTTTGATATTATCCTGCCAGACTGCACAGAAAAAATCAAAGGAGGCTGTTGGTGAGGAAGCAAACAGGAAACATAAAACTAACAAAGACATGGCTCCTTAAGGGCACAATGAGGGGAGCTGTTAATTGTGGAATGAGTCTCCCTGGCTCCAGCCAGGCTAGTCTAGGTTAATTCTTCCCAGCCCTGAGCTCAGGATCAAAGGGCAGACTAGGGAATGAAGGGGGTAGAACAGCAGTAGCTAAGGGGTAATGTGGCTTCCAGGAGGCAGATTCATCACTGCTCACCTCGACTGTCTGGAGTCTGGGGGATGTTGTTCAAGGAAGGCTCCTCCACGTTGTTGTAATCCAACCGAGACCCCCCTGGGTAATCTCCCTCTGGAAAAGCAAACATCACACTCAGCTTCCCCTGAACACACCCATTTCCCCAGCAGGTTTTAGTTCCCCATTAAAGGCCTGTTGTCTTCGAGTTTGGGCTGTTCATCATAGATTCTGTAGGGGAAGTCACAGGGTGACCCAGGGGAAAAGGGAGAGTCATGGACATTCTATGAAACAATAATTGTGCCACCTTTATTGCCTCAAAAATAACTAGGGCCCAGCCCTGCCCCACAGCATCTAATGGCAACTTTGTCATGCCCTTCAATGAGATCAGGATCTATGCTGGTATTGAGCTAACCCTGGACCCATTGGTAGACAGTAGCTGCCACACCAGAGCTGATCATTGTGAATTCAACTGAACTCTATAAAGACATAGTTTAAAGTCTTTACTTTATACGGGCTGGATCGTGAATTGGGCTATATGCCGAGGAGGCAGGGGCTTAGATCATAGGGCACAGATCAGGGGTTGTATAGTGACATGTGTCACCTGTGGAAGTCAGATTCTTTCATATCTTGTAAATATTTCTCTGCCCGGTTCCATACAGCTTCTCCCCTGGGGGAGTGCACCGTCAACCACACACAGAAAGGGTCATGATTTGTTCACGTTTCCATCAAGAGTTGGACAGAAATCTTTTATGTGTCTCTGTATCCACCCCCACCCTTGTTACCTTGTTCTGATCCAGGATCGTTTTCCCCCTCGCTGTCCCCGGTGTAATACTGCAGCTTCATCACTGACTCATCTGAATAGGAGACTGGAGAAATGATAAATGGGATGTTATCACAGTGAGAGTAGCAAAACTGGCTGATGGGCAGTGCATCCAGGTCCTGGAGCAAGATCTATGGTCTCAGTATATTGCTCCTTCAAGAAAAGATGCTGAATTGACAGTGAGTAAGTGGTGAGAAGTTGACACAGATTTTCCAAGATAAATATCCATTTTTTGTGGTAAATGTGGCTTTGGGGTGGATAAATCAGACTGGGAAGATGCTGGGAACAGCCATATTGACCTCATAAGGTGAGGCAGGGACTGAGTGTGCCTTTTACTTGGGACCCCTTCCTGTGGGTTTCATTTGAATCCTTCTCATTAACTGCAGAGCATGTTTTGAGTCACACTCAGGGTGTAAGAATCTGTTTAGAGAGGAATGTTTATCTTCTCCTCTTGAATGTTGCTACTTCATGGCCTGATCCAGCAGAAAATTATGGCTGAGGCTGCTGGCCGAGACCTCCTCAGCCACGGACATGACTCCCATTTTGTTATGCAAGATACTCCCCCTGCCCTGCCTTATTGCCAGATTAAGCCACGCCCCTCCCAGTATCAGAGTGTGTGACCAACCCCCACCATTAGTAGAGAGGACAATGTGCATCTCAGAAGTAGCCTGAGGGAGACGTATTGACCACGCTCATAGTGCCCCACAATGTGCTAAACTGAGAGAAGCATCTTCCCAACTGATTGACATTGAGTCAAAAGGATGTGAACAGTCACTTCCCTGACCCATAACTAATTAGATCCTAAATCTGCAGGATGTACAGATCGAACCGACTCAGAATGCAGAATCTGCTCGGGAGGAAACTCATTCATCTCAGTCCAGTAACTGGCTGATCTCGTCACAGACACAGCATCTGCAGCCATCCAGAACTCACAGGCTTGAAGGATGCAGCGATTTAGCTCTAGGTCAAAGCTTTAGAATGCAGAGTGCATTAGAGATTTTCTCCCTGTTAGGAATGACACACACAGACCTGAGCGATCAAACATTTCCTGCTTCTTTCTCATCAGGTTATAATCGATCTCCTCATACACAGCCTCAGAGAAAGGGTCCAAGGATCTTCTGGAGCCTAAAAAGAAAGGGCAGGGTTTGCACAGGGTCAGAGAAGCTAGGGATGGGAAACCCTATGAGATCATCCAGCCCCTTTCCCTGGGCCCAGTGCAGGACTGGTCCCTACAGCACATTCCCACTGCTCTGTCCAGTTAAGATTTCAGAGTCCCAGGTGACAGGGACCACGTCCCTCTCCTGTTTGTTCTATTGGTTATTTCACTGTCATTAAGTTTATCTTGATATTCAGCCTTAATGGTCCCTACATACATTTATCCTATTACTCCTAGTACCACCCAAAATCATTCCTCTCCTATCCTGGTGCTCACACCTATGGGCAAAATAGTACTTGTATATGTACTGCCTAGACACTGTGTGGGGATTAATTAGCTACATATATTTTTACATGACAAATCTGAGGCACTGTCCCAGATTGAGGTGTCATTAGAGGAAGTTTTGGAACAAATTGATGAACTAAACAGTAATAAGTCATCAGGATTAGATGGTATTCACCCAAGAGTCTGAAGGAACTCAAATATGAAATTGCAGAACTACTAACTGTAGTATGTAACCTATCATTTAAGTCAGTTTCTGTACCAGATGGCTGGAGGATAGCTAACGTGATGCCAATTTTTAAAAAAGGTTCAAGAAGCGTTTACAGCAATTACAGGCCAGAATCCGAATTTACAGAACCAGGCAAATTAGTTTAAACTACAGTAAAAATAGAATTATCAGATATATAGATTAACACGATTTGTTGGGGAAGAGTAAACATGGTATTTGTAAAGAAAAATCATGCCTTGACAATCTACTAGTATTCTCTGAGGGGGTGAGAAAGCATGTGGACAAGGTGGATCCAGTGGATATATTGATAATCATTAGGAAAGGGATAGATAATAAGACAGAAAATATCATATTGCCTCTATATAAATCCATGGTACGCCTACATCTTGAGTACTGCGTGCAGATGTGGTCACCCTATCTCAAAAAAAGATATATTGGAATTGGAAAAAGTTCAGAAAAGGGCAACAAAAATGATTAGGGGTATGGAAAAGTTGCCATATGAGCATAAAATCATGACTGGTATGGAGAAAGTAAATAAGGAAGTGTTATTTGCTCCTTCTCATAACACAAGAACTATGGGTCACCAAATGAAACTAATAGGCAGCAGGTTTGAAACAAACAAAAAGAAGAATTTCTTCTCACAACACACAGTCAACGCCTGTGGAACTCTTTGCCAGAGGATGTTGTGAAGGCCAAGAGTATAACAGGGCTCAAAAAGGAACTAGATAAATACATGGAGGATAGGTCCATCAATTGCTATTAGCCAGGATGGGCAGGAATGGTGTCCTTAGCCTCTGTTTGCCAGAAGGTGGGAATGAGCGACAGGGGATGGATCAGTTGATGATTACCTGTTCTGTTAATTCCCTCTGAAGCACCTGGCTTTGGCTGCTATTGGAAGACAGGATACTGGGCTAGATGGACATTTGGTCTGACCCAGTATGGCCTTTCTTATGTTCTTGTATAAGGGTACAACAACATCTGAGCTGACTTAGATCTAGCTAGCCATGTAGTTGTGTCAGCAGACACAGCAGCACAGGTTAACCTTTCATGTACAACCTCACCGAGGAGCCTGGGTGCATACTCCAGTGGCTACCCCACATCACAGCCATGCTGACGCAACTACACTGCTGTTGTTATGCCAGCATACCTCGGGTATGTCTACATGTGCTGCAATCACACCTCTCACTGCAGTGTAGATATTCCCTAAATGCCTAATAGAACTGTCTGATCTCTTTCACCATTATCATCCAAGCTCTTTTACAGCATTTCTTCTTCCTCGTACCCTCCCTCCTGATGTATCTCTCTATTCGGGATCTTTACCTCACATGGATTTTCTTGCACTTTTCTAAATGGAATCTCAACATGTTCTTTTTCTAACAATATTTGCAGTCACTTTGTATTATTTCCTCTAGTGAGGCGAAGTGGCCTCCCTCCCCACCTGAGAATGAGGGACCACTACACTGCCTCTGGTGGGCAGAGCCAAACTTGCCCTGCCCCCCTCGCCGGAATTACTAGGGCAGGACAGGAAACATAAAGGGAGGGCCTTGCATTTTATTTCAGTGGGAGCCAGGGAACATAGGAACTGCTGCCAGTTTCCTGTAAAGTGACCAGATTAGCAGCATCAGTTACACTGTGAAGCTCTGCACAGTGGAAATAGCTATAACTACTGTGTTCAAAGCCTTGGCTGGTTGGTTATTTTTTGTTTGTTTGTTTTTCTTGTATAAGAAAACTCAGAATCTGAGTAATGCAGAAAACACTGCAGGAGGGCCCTCCAAACTGATTTTTTATACCTGAAGCTTTTTAATGTTAGAGCATAAGAATATAAGAACGGCCGTATTGGGGTAGACCAAAGATCCATCCAGCCCAGTATCCTGTCTGCTGACAGTGGCCAATGCCAGGTGCCCCAAAGGGAGTGAACCTAACAGGTAATGATCAAGTGATCTCTCTCCTGCCATCCAGCTCCACCCTCTGACAAACAGAGGCTAGGGACACCATTCCTTACCTATCCTGGCTAATAGCCATTAATGGACTTAATCTCCATTCATTTATCTAGTTCTCTTTTAAACCCTGTTGTAGTTCTAGCCTTCATAACTTCCTCAGGTAAGGAATTCCACAGGTTGACTGTGCGCTGTGTGAAGAAGAACTTCCTTTTATTTGTTTTAAACCTGCTGCCCATTAATTTCATTTGGCGGCCCCTAGTTCTTATATTATGGGAACAAGTAAATAACTTTTCCATATTCACTTTCGCCACAGCACTTATGATTTTATATACCTCTATCATATCCCCCCTTAGTCTCCTCTTTTCCAGGCTGAAAAGTCCTAGCCTCTTTAATCTCTCCTCATATGGGACACGTTCCAAACCCCTAATCATTTTAGTTACCCTTCTCTGAACCTTTTCTAATGCCAGTATATCTTTTTTGAGATGAGGAGACCACATCTGTACACAGTATTCAAGATGTGGGCATACCATGGATTTATATAAGGGCAATAAGATATTCTCTGTCTTATTCTCTATCCCTTTTTAATGATTCCTAACATCCTGTTTGCTTTTTTGACTGCCACTGCACACTGCGTGGACGTCTTCAGAGAACTATCCATGATGACTCCAAGATCTCTTTCCTGATTAGCTGTAACTAAATTAACCTCCATCATATTGTATGTATAGTTGGGGTTATTTTTTCCAATGTGCATTACTTTACATTTATCCACATTAAATTTCAATTGCCATTTTGTTGCCCAATCACTTAGTTTTGTGAGATCTTTTTGACGTTCTTCACAGTCTGCTTTGGTCTTAACTATCTTGAGCAGCTTTGTCATCTGCGAACTTTGCCACCTCACTGTTTACCCCTTTCTTCAGATCATTTATGAATAAATTGAATAGGATTGGTCCTAGGACTGACCCTTGGTGAACACCACTAGTTACCCCTCTCCATTCTGAAAATTTACCATTTATTCCTACCCTCTGTTCCCTGTCTCCAGCCTGCTGCAGAACTCTGGAGCTGGACCTGCACTGGGCAGGATCCTGTCCCCAAAGGAGACCATCCCCGGAGAGAAATTGCCGGGACTGCCATTGGCCAATACCCCGATGAGACCAAGAACTCAGGCACTATGGAACCCCTCACTCAGACACTGGTAGGAAGTAGCCCAAGGAAACTGGACTTTGGTCCTGTTTCACTGTCAAAACCCGAGTCAACATATTTTAGTTGGATCCCTGCTGACCCAATGGAACAGTCCACCACTGTTAGGGCCCTGGGCTACGACGCAGTGAAGTAGGGTGCGCCAAGGTCCCCCCATCCCCTGCTGCCAACCCCATTCCTGGGGTGGCAGCCTCCCCATCTTAGGCCAAGAGGTCTGTTGTCTGCCAGAGCCAGGACATCAAATGTGCCTGTTTGGTGCTCTGCCCTGCCTGAGGGCCTGAAACCCTAGACTGTTTGGTGCTCCCTGCTCTGCCCCCATCCAAAGAGCCAGAGCCCCAGACTGTGTGTTTGCTAGCTGTCTTAGCCAAGAGGCTTAGGCAACACCTGCTCCCCACTCTGCCCTGCCCAGAGGGCCAGAGCTTCCCTAATAAACCATTAATTTCTGGCTGTCCCAGCCAGGATGGTGTAGACTAAAGACTGCTTATACTCTGCCCCACCTAGAGGGCCAGAGCCCTAGACTCTTGATTGACGACAGCCCTGACAGGAGGCTGTGAGCTCTAGATTGTTTACAGATCGGCCCAGACAGTGGGACCCTAGCCTTAGTGCTGCTGCCTGACACAGTGAGACGGAGTGGGCTCCCTCCTCACTTGAGAGCAAGAGACCACTGCTTTTCCCCTTTGTATTATTTCTCTGTTGTCTCCACTAGTCTTAACTCCTCCCAATTTACTGTCATCTGGACTGGCTACAGAGCTTCCCTGCAAGAGAGGTACACACCACATGTGTTCACCAAAAGATACCTTAATACTCTGCCAGGTATGGCTGAAGTTAGCTTAAACAAGGTATGTTACACACGGTGCCACCTAGTGGGTGAACAGTATAATACAGTTTAGCCTTCCATTACATCTCCCCTTTTGAGTTCTACATTCCTAGCATTTACAAAATTTATGTTTTCATGGTATCTTTCTAGTTTTGCACAGATCAGTCTATTAAGTGTCTCTTGTTAGTATATAGGCCTGTCTCTTAGCCTAGGATAAAATTTGGGGTCTGACTTTTGATACTTTTATATTCTCCTTACTAATATGTGTGAACAAAGAATGAAAACACTGTGTGTTGCTTCCAGATGGGGTTCATAGCACAATGAAAAGAAATAAGGAAAAGCGTTAAAGTGTTGCTGGGTATGGTGGGAGTTTAATATAGAAGCGTGCACTTGAAGACTGACTCGACCCTTATCTCAATGCAAGGTCAAGCAACCAGATGGGAGGGGCAAGAGGGGTGGTGGTGAAGCATGAGAAACACTAGAAAGCCAGAGAAAAGGTGACACTGACCGAAACATAACCTTACCCTTTACCCCTCCCATGGGGTACAAAAGAGGCAGTACCATAGTGTCCATACTCACAATCCTCCAAAACGGAACATGACCATAAATTGTAAGGGGTGGGACCAAGGCCGTGCAGGAAGGTGGGAAAAAGGACAGGGAAAACTCTGTGGTGTACAGAGCTATGGATATGCTTGCTTGATTAACCCCAATAAACATCACATTGCCTGCACTTGGACTATGGTCTTCTGCTTTCTGATTGCGTGATAAGAACCAAGAGAGGGGCGAGGGAAAAAGCCCTAACATCTGTCAGTGGTCCTAGTTTTCTAATTACCAAACCCAAACAAGTAACAACTTGGTCATCTGGCTTTCCATCAGTTGCAATGACTGCCTGAGGCCTGTCTGGAATCTCTGAGTTCTCTTCCTCTTGTTCTGCATCTGCCATCTGTAGAGTTTGCTCTGTTGATTGTTCTTTCTGAGGTACACTATATTCTCCAGCATTTTATCTTGAGTTTAGTTGTACTGGGTCTCCTTTCAAAAATCCCTCTGTCAAGTTCTTCTGATTTTCTCATTAGGCCCATCATGGCTGCCACACTGAGGTGGAGAACACTGTTGGTCTTTGATCCTTCGATCACATGCACTCTGAATGAGAAGGTTTTGTCTTTGAAAGATATTTCTGTGGTGAACTGTCCCATGCAATTCAGAATGCCTCCAGGGATAGTCAGAGCTGTGTCAGGTGACTTCAGCTCTGGGAGGGGTTGAAGGTGATTGTAAGGCCCATGTGAGATGACTGTTACATTGGCTCCTAAGTTAATTTCAAAGTCAATAGTGTTTCTCTGAATGATCAGTTTCACTCTCCAGACAGGCTCTGTATCATCACATATGATAGATCCCAGAAACAATTTTGCAAATTTGACACCATCAGCTCAGGATTAAACAAAGATTGTGAATGGCTAGCCAACTACAAAAGCAGTTTCTCCTCCCTTGGTGTTCACACCTCAACTGCTAGAAGAGGGCCTCATCCTCCCTGATTCAAGTCACCTTGATATCTCTAGACTGATTCTGGCTTGCATATTTATACTTGCCTCTGGAAATTTCCACTACATGCATCTGACGAAGCGAGTATTCACCCACGAAAGCTTATGCTCCAATACATCTGTTAGTCTATAAGGTGCCACAGGACTTTTTGTCGCTTTTTACAGATCCAGACTAACACGGCTACCCCTCTGATATCTGAAATATTTGTAACTCGGAACAAAATGTTACAGTTGTTCTTTCAAAAGTTTACAACTGAACATTGACTTAATACAGCTTTGAAACTTTACTATTCAGAAGAAAAATGCTGCTTTTAACCATCTTAATTTAAATGAAACAAACACAGAAACAGTTTCCTTACCTTGTCAAATTGTTTTTTAACCTTCCCTTTAATTGTTTTAGTCGTTTATATTTAAGACAGTATTGTACTATATTTGCTTTTGTGGTTTTTTGGTCTCTGGTGCTGCCTGGTTGCGTACTTCCAGTTCCAAATGAGGTGTGTGGTTCACTGGTCAGTTCTGTAACTTTGAGCTTCCAGTGTATAAGGTATGCATCAAACATAGCCAGAACCCTTTCCTAGTCATCTTTGTGACTGTCCTCAGGCAAATCAAAGGATTTAAAGAAATGTTCTGTTTGCTTCCAAATAGCATGAACTAAACACCATACCTCAGTTTCCTTATGGAGTTTTATAGCAATTGAAATCTTGCAAAATGTTGCTTCTAGACTGTCAATTATGAAGGTCTGTCAAAGTTGAAGTTCTCTGGGGCAATGAAGAGGGAGATGTTGATGAAATCATGCAACCAGTGTTGCTTTTTTCCCCCCCTGTTTGCAACCTTCATTGCTCCTCCTTCTGTCTGCAACTTCTGTTGCTCTCTTCCTTCTGTTTTTCTTCTCTTCTGGCACTGCTTAACTTTGGGCACCATGTCACATACACCTTGTACATGGTAGGTGGCAGGGCTGCTATTAGCAGGTCAGGTTTCTCTACCAGATATGGAATGGCTACAGCGCTTCCTTCCCAGAGAAATACTCACCAGATGTGTTCACAATAAAATCCCTTAATGCTCTGTCAGGCATGGCTGAGGTTAGCTAAAATAAGTTGTTACATGCAACGCCACTTTGTGGCTGAACAGTATAATACAACTTAACCTTCCATTACACTGCCAACACCCCACCCCCCTTAGACACAGCTCCCCCTGTTATTTCAGAGGCATTTCACACAGTGACACTAATCAGCACCCACCTCTGCGCTGTGCCCTGGCACTTCGCACCTGTGCACCTAGGATGATTAACACCAGGCAGAGCAGGGACCCCAGGATAATGCAGATGACCACAGGCACCGTGACTCTCCCACTGTTGGTCAGAGTGCGGCGTGCGGGAGCTGGATGGAAATGAACATGCAACAGGGAGATATTATCCTGTGAGAGTCACGCGGGGGTGGGGGGGCAGGGAGCTCCCCAGTCACTCATTGCATAGCCAAGGACAGCAGGGTAACGGGCTGGGACACAGTCTGTGCGCCATGGGGATAGGTCACAGGCTGCTGTTTAAATCATGGGCTCTGCCCTGTCAGCTGGAGCCAGCAGACAGGAATCGTCAGGCTCAGCAGGGCCTGCAGCTCCCACCCAGGTGTCATTCACCCCTAGATTTCACAGGCCATGTGTAAGGGGACTGTAGGCCCCTTACTAAAACTCAATGGGTTTTTTTTCCATTGGCCGTCTCCCAGTACCAGAAGGAGGGGAAAGGTTCGATGGGAAATCAGGACCTTGAGGCTGACAGTCCCCAGGAACAATGGGGAGAGGCCAGTGCTCCAGGTCAGCCTGATTGACAGGGTGGACAGGCTAATGAAGGAGTCAGGAGGCTGGGGTGGATCCTGTCCTCCCTGTGAGCAGGAATTGCCTGGAACAGAGTGGGGAGGAGCTAATGAGAGAGCAGGGGCCGGAGCTAAGCTGGGGAGCAGAGCTGCGCCAGCCAGAGAGAACCACAGAAGCAGCCCAGGGGGAGCAGAGTCACAGAATCAGCCCACAGGGGAGACCTGTGCTGGGAGGACAGCTATGTCAACCAGATCCAGAGAGGCCAGAAAAGCAGCCCAGGTAGCTGGAGGCAGAGTAGCAGCAGCCGTGCTGAGGCAGAGTGGAGCTGGAGCTGAGAGAGAGTGATGGAGCTGGAACTCGGGTTGGAGCAGTCCGGAGCCGGGTGCACTGAGCAGCTGGGCAGAGCGAGGGGGACCCTGGGCAGTGGGCCCAGCACAGGGAGACACCTCCAACCAAGAGGCCTTGCAAGCCAGACTTGGTGGGAGATTGTAACTCCGACAGGGCGGGGTCGACGCTGGGAAGAAGGGTTCTGCCAATTAAAGCCTGAGGGCATGTGGCCACCATCAGAGCAAGTGTCCGACCCATAGCATCCCTGCAGCACAGCCAGGGCCTGAGAAGGAGGCCTGGGACGAGTGAGGAACAGACTGTGAACTTCCCTTACAGTCCAGAGACACTGGTTGTGATGTCCCCATGCCACAGACCGGGGTGACGTGTTTTCCTTTAACCTTTCCCATTCCCCCCCCCCCCCCGCCCCCGCTTTTTTTTAAATTGATTGCTGTTTAATAAATTGCATTTGCTTTGAACTGTATGTAATGATCAGTGGGTCAGGGAAGCATCCAGTGTAGAGAGGGACCCTGGGAGTGGGGACAAC